TAATTAAAAAAGGCTCTTATTTCCGCTTTTATGTTCGATTTCCGCGGGTCCCCCGAGTCTCGTCTACTAGCGCGGGCACCTTTCCTGAACGGCGGCTGTTAATCGAGCCTATTCTGTTTTAAGTGGTATCTTTCAGGGTCAAATAAAGCCCAAACCACGCCCAGGTTGGTTTCCTTTGGGGGTTTAATTCAAATTTTCCGACAAGCATCGCTGACCTTTTCATATGAGGGTCCCCCCGGGTGTTAGCGTAAGTTCACATATCTATTTTACTGTAGTGAAACATACCGGGCAGCAAAATATTTTGATTAAGATTTATAATTTACTGGATTATGTTTTTCTTGTTTTTTGTTTTTTGCAATTATATAAGTACAGCGGACCCCGCCTTACGGTCATGACTTCGTTATTACGGCCACTTTGTTTTCGTCNTTACTGGATTATGTTTTTCTTGTTTTTTGTTTTTTGCAATTATATAAGTACAGCGGACCCCGCCTTACGGTCATGACTTCGTTATTACGGCCACTTTGTTTTCGTCTCGGTGAAACGCCCATACATTTTCCTATAAGAAAACCCCGTTTAAGTCACTAACCGGTTAACACGGCCGATGGCCATATTCTGAAATCCCAACTAATATATACCTCTTACTAACCGAGTTCGAGGGCCGTACTGTAAGTTACGGACCGAGTTTTTTCCCATCGATTTATGAATAAAATCTAATCGAAGGGGAAAAAACGAGGATCCGTAACTTACAGTACGGACCGAGAAAACGAGGTTAGTAAGATATTCATTATATCTCTACTGTGTGTCTACCGGGTTAGGGAATGATTTCTATTCACGCGGAACGGCTTAAAAATTTCTGACGCACCTCGAAAGCAAAACGAGTCAATTTGAAATCGTTTTTAAATCGTCAGCACGCCTTAATGCACAATTTAAAGTGAAATAAAGTTTTAGACTTTTACTTCCTATAAAAGTTAAGATCACTTGGCGATAAATCACGAAACAGTTTGGCAACAAAAATAACTTTAAATTTTAGCGGGCCGTATAGGAGAATACGGCCCGCTAAATTGACCAATCACAGCGCGCGTACTAACTGAGAGATATAATATAATCCTTTATAATTTTACCCCGTTAATTAACATAAGGCCATTCGAACCCGTTACGTTCGTCTTTCTTTTGTTAATATTGTATGCACTGATTGTATCAGCTTATAACAGCATTCCCGATGTTTATTAAAGAACAGATGTTTAAAAGTGCAATTGTGATATTTATCCGTTAAGACCTCTCTCTGCTTCGACCGGTAATGAAATTTGATCCTACCCTGTTAATACGGTTAAATTTTCACGGTCCGTTTGTGACCGCGGCTCCACTGTACGGTCTTTTCCTTTCCGAGTAAGCAAGGTCCGTAGAAAAGAAACCAGGGGCCTTGACGCGCTTGGGCAAGATTTGTTATCAGATCTATTACACGAAGGGTTGTTGAGACTTAAAACGCGCAATTTGGATGAAGAGCTGACTTCTAATGCTTCTGACGTTTTTGGGAAATGAAGGACAAGAAAGTTGGAAGAGAAAGAAAGAATCTTTCAAGTGTAATTTAATTCTTTGAAAAAAGTACGCCATAAAACAAAAGTGCCCTTCCAAGTGCCCCACCCAATACTTGGAAAATATTGGACTGGTAATAGAGTAATCTGTTTCGTTGATTAATGGCTATTAGCTCTCTGAACTTAGTCAGCTTCTCGCAAATTTTCGGTTGTGCTCGGATATATTCTCAAATGCGGACTAGGGTCGGATTAACCTTGTAGGACTTGCAGATATAGTCGA